ATTATATAGATACTTTGTGCAACAGTCTAAATGTCACTCAGAGAGATAAGACAGAAACCTCTGACACTAAACGGTGCATAAAAAGATGATGGTGATGTTTTTCATCTCCACCAGGCATAAGCCAGGAAGGGATCAGGTGTTTGGTTGCGTGTGTGTTTTAATTAACTGTTTTAAACTGTCACTGACTGCTGACTCCTCACCTCTCTAACTTTAAATCACATCGGCTAAAAATAAGCCGTATCATCTGTTGCAGGCCACATTTTGGCTTTCATTGTGGCTCAAAAGCTGACATCCATAAAAATGTTTGGTCTCATTTTAACCGGAGTATCTAAAGATTAATTCTGTGCGTGATGTGTAACGGTCCTCTAAAGTAAGGCAAGATATGAGATGAATACATCAACTGTTTATATAATTTTTGACAACATCTTGACTGTAAGAGAGCTGAGATGGACAATTCCACTGGGCCCGGCTGAGATGAGGTTTTGTTCTGTCTACTGTACACTGTCACAGAGTAATTTAGAAGCTGTTGACAATTTGATCCCTTTTCCTTGATGTTTGCACTTCTACCATATGTAAATGAGCAAATTATGTAGTTAAAAGGTTTCTGTTTTGTGTTTATTGTTGTTATTTCCTGCTTTGTTGCACTGCAGCATACAGACAAAGTTAATACCATTAAAAGTCCAGTCATTAACAACATGGATCAAAGATTTGTGACTGTGTATTAGCTGTTTAAAATAAATGTATCCTAATAATTACATGACAGTATTCACACACAGTGCCAGAGCAGCGCGCTGCAGCTCCATCAAAGATCGACAAGGCACGTATTTTTCTGGAATGCTTCTGAAACATGCTGCGGTGGGTCTGCTGGAATTACTAGAATTCTACCTCACTGTGTATTCTTTAAATTAGTTATTATGCAAAGCCAAGCAAGACGCCTAGAACTTTATTCTTTGGATGCACAAATACTTTGTCTGATTATAAAGATTTCTTCTTCTGGCTGGTCAGCTTCTGGATTCAAAGAGCATAAGAGCAGCTGGGACATTTTGGGAAGACATTCTACTTCTAGCACAATATTTGAGGAGAAATTAATTATGTTTATACATATCATTGAAATGAGGGCTTTTGAGAAATCACATTTAGTTGTGTCAGTATGAAAACAGAGCGGGTGAAGGTAGTTATTTTTACTCTAACCATTTTAGAAAGTCATAATTTCACTCTAATTTAGCTTAAAAGACAACATGTAGAGTATATCACATTAACACAGAACCAAAATCCCACAGTAACACAATATTGATATACCGGCAGATCATTTCTGGTGAAAATGTAGAAGTGTCAAACTAACCCAGCATTGCAGTGCTGATGTCAACTCCAACCCAGTAGTGTCCCTCCTCTGACAGATAGTCTCCACTGAGACCAGAGCCGCACCTGAGAGACAGAGGACAGACTGTCATCTGAATCTTTCACATCACAAACACACAAGATGACTCTATTATGCTGAATTCTATGATGAGTTATGTACATATGTATGTATCATGTAGGTACTATTTCCCTTCTACTGAACAACACCAATCAACCGAATCACTGCACAGAAGGAAGCATGCATCTACTCATGGACAAGAGGCTCATGACAGTGCAAGACATAAACATTAATGGTGTCCTCCTTAGCTCAGCTGTAACATTAGCTAGCTTAGTGGTGCTACAATAGCTAGCAGTATATGAGTGCTTCCCTCTGAGCAGTGATACAGTTGGTGGGTGTAGTTTGGTAGACAGGAAATAGTTCCTACATGAAACTGCTCACAACAAGGTCTTTGGATTATCCTGAGTAGCTGAGTCATGATTTCTGGAAAGAGACATTGATGTTGAGTTTTTCAAAGTGTAGTTTTCTGGCACTTTGAGCACCACAAGCCGAGTGCCATTTAGTTTCATTATACACAAGAAAAGGCAGACATCTCTGCAGTCGATATCTCCAACACTCAGCAACTCACACCAAAACAATCTAGATGGATAAACAGCACTACAGGTAAGAGGAAAAATATGTATTTTCAGTTGTGGGGTTAACTGTCCCTTAAAGCTTGAAAGAAAAAATACATTTTGTATAAATAAAGTATTGCTTTCTCTAACCCCACTGCCTCCAAAGTCATCTGCCTTCGAACACCCAGTCTATCAGACATGAACCTGAGAGCCATGACAAACCTAGCACTCACAATATCAAATGACATTGATCAGCCCCTAAACCAACACTTTAAATTACTATACTGTACTCTTATCTGGTCGGAGATACACAACTCTTAGAAGGAAAAGAGGTCTCTTCAGCTGGAGTTTTGTTCCACCTGCTAAAGCAACTCTGAACAATCATCCTCACTGAGGCAGGTCAGTGTGTATATCTGTGTTTCTATGTGCTGCCATGTTGTACTGGCTGTGAAAACAAATATCCCTCTCGAACAAATAAATCTAAATCAAGTTAATAGTGTAATACAGCATGTAAACACAGCCAGTGTCACTCACTCACCCAACATCTAGCAGAAAGCATGGCTGTCCCTCTGGCAGGTTTAAGAGCTCAACAGCTCTCTCTGACATCTGGGTTTGGATCTCAATCATCCGAGAGCTGCGAGGCAACAACAGACACAGATTTTAGTTACAGTGTAATATGGGACATCTGGCAATTGAAAGACATTCTTACACAAACAAGCTTAATCTTTAAATGTGGCGGTGTGCCATCAGATTTGATGTTGGATTTAGTAGACTTTCAGCCATAGTGTCTCATAACCCTGTGAATCAATCATGGATTGAGAGACTGTATCTATGATGCTCCATTATTCTTATTCTGTCCATTTACTAGAAGCAGAAGCTGTTTGTGTCTTGCATTTATCTGCAGCCTAAACTACAGTGTGTATCTTTTTTAACTGCTTCATTTCCAATATACACCTGAGCTGATGATCATTCTAGGAAAACACACACTAAAGTCAAATTTCCCCATAAACAGCAGCCACAGTGACAGGAAGTTGTGCATAAATAAGACACAGACTCACTTCTGAGAGTATTTCTTCGCCTCTTCTTGATTGTAGAACTGCAGGGATGAGAGAAGATCAGATTAACTTCACTACATCAATGAAACAGCTCACAGTATTGGCTGTCAGCTGACTCTACTGTAACCTCTCATGAGCTATCATTGCAAGTGACTTTAATACATAAGACACAAACTAGCAAACCAGGGCAAATTGAAAATAATGATGTAGTTAGTTAGTCCGGTCAAAAATGCATTCAGTTCTCTGTTAAAATGCTGTTATATTGAATCTAAGAGCCACCGAGGGGACCTTTAAAGATCCATAGTGCTCCTGCTTCAACAGACAAGACTAGCGTTAGCCTAGCTTAGCAGCTAAAACCTGCAATAACCCACGTCACTGACCACATCTGGAGGAGCTGAGTGTTCAGGCCGTCGACAGCTGGAGGACATGGCTGTCTCTCGATGTGTGTCGGTCTCTAAAGATGAAGAGTTAATTGATAAAATCAGCTCATAAACAAGCTAAATGTTGTGATAGCCGACGGTCCACATGTGAAGAATGATGACGCCACACGCAAGCGACGTAACAAACACTTCTTTGTGGAGTTATAAAAGCAACACAGACGCTTATGTCGCCGCCTACTGTGCACCTAGGTGAACAGTACAATCATACAGTAAATAATAGTACGAGAATGTGTATTGTTTTAACATAAGGCCATTCTTTATTTATTTGTTTAAACAACCAGTATACATATTTAAAAAACAACATTAAAGAAACACAAAATAATCCAAACAGTATTAAGATACAAGAAAAATAAATTAATAAATAAAATACATAAATCATAGTCAAGTATTTAAAAACATGCGTTGTAGATTTAATTAATTAGGAGGTATTATACATTTTTTGTATTATACAGTATATATGCTACTGCCATCTGTTTACATAATCATGAGGTATTTTTACACTTAAGTACCATTTAAAATAATTTTCGCAAGATGAAAATGTTCCTTCCTTTACATTTTTGCATTATGTACATACATTAAATCTACCCTAATTCTTTGTTTTGCAAAGAAAAGAAAAAGAAATTATGCCACTTTATTCAAAATCAGCAATTACATTTTTGGTGTCCAACCATAGGCTACATATTTTTTCCCAGAAGGCTTCGATGACATCAAATTAAAGAAAGTGTTTTTGTCTGTTAGTTTGTTCATTTTAAAGGAGCCCTTACCTGTCTTTTATTATTATTAATAGTAGTAGTAGTAGTAGTAGTACTAGTAGTACTAGTATTAGTAGTAGTAGTAGTAGAAGTATTACTTTATTTATAGTAGAACAATTCAGCAATACACATCCTAGTAGATATATTGGTTTTTGCATTCTTCACAACAATATTCATTTAAATAAATGATTGTTGATGATATTTACCCATTATTGTGATGATATGATGATACATTTATCTAGAGAGGCTAGTCCTTGAGTTTCATGGCTGTTACTACCAAATATACCTTAATTACAGTCAAACTTAAGTATAATCCTAAAATAATAATAACAATAATAATAATAAATTGATCAGTGTCATTTTTAATGTTAAGGTAATATCAAATTGTATTCTCTGGGAAATCTTTCATAATATATTTATTTTTAATGAAAAAGCCGGTCATAAAAAATACTTGTCTGACTGACGTATGCTCTTAGGTTTTTATTTTTATTTATCTGTGTGTTTTGTTTCTCATGCAAATGTACTTTTTGCAAATGTACTTTCTGCAATTTGTTTATAATGCCTGTGCCTGCGGCAACCCAATTTGCCCATATTGGGACATAATAAAGTTGAAGTGAAGTGAAGTGAAGTGAAAAGTTTGCTATGACAAACCTGTAATATGATTGGTCGGCCGTGATAAGAGCTTCCTGTAAACATTGACTCTGATTGGCTACTCTGTGTGTGTGACGTTTCCGGATGCCGCATCAGTTTTCCGGCCCGTTCACTGCTCCGTTCTCGGTAAAATGGCAGAGGTCGGTCAGAGGCTGGGGAGCGGAGCTTACCGGTTCTCCGCCCTCAGAAACAGCCAGAGCCGACCGGTGTGCACCGGAGAGAGTCCCGGGGCCCTGTTGGGGAACTGTACCTTCACTGACAGCCGGTTAAAAGAGGAGTCAACACGTCACCAACGTGAAGTTCAGCCGGTTTTAAGAAGCACAGCAACACAGCGAAGACCAGAGAAACTTTACAGAGTGAGATCAAGTGAAAGTCAACAGGAAAATGGGACTTTGCGCTGTGCCACGTCTCTGGAGCTGGATTCATCCCGTTTTTTCAGTGAGAGCCTGCATCATACAGCAGCCCTGTATCTCTCAGCGAGACTGCAGCCTCTCCTCCAGGAGAAGCTGCTACATGGTAGGATGACACCCTGGACCAGAGAAGCTGTTTCCATCCACCCTGACACCTTCAGGTCCCCTAAGCAGCTGCGAGCCTTCTGCACTGTCATCTTCATTCTGGCAGAGCAGCGATCAGAGAGGCAGAGGCGTCTGAAGCAACATCCTGACACCCTGCGAGCATCTACAGCGAGCAGAAGCTACAGCTGGAGGAGTGACAGCAGCTCAAAAGATGCTCCTCCGCTATACAGAAGCAGGACGTCCTATTACGACCTCCTCAGAGTGTCCCCCGCAGCCACACAGGCCCAGATCAAGACGGCGTACTACAAGCAGTCCTTCATCTACCACCCTGACAAGAACCCAGGGAACAAGGAGGCCACACAGCGCTTCTCTGAGATCAGCGAGGCCTACACAGTGCTGGGCAACATCAGCCTGAGGAGGAAGTATGACCGTGGTATTCTGAGCGGGGCAGACGTACAAAGTGCAGGGAGACCATCCTCCAAAGAGACCAAAAGCAGACACACAGGCTCCCCACAGCATCACCAGCAGCATCATCACCACAGAGCCAGGCAGTTCTCCCAAACTGGAGGGAGGACAATGTTTGATTTCGATGCCTTTTATCAGGCTCACTACGGGGAGCAGCTGCAGAGGGAGAGGGACATGAAAGCCAGGAAGGAGCGCATGGAGGAGCAGAAGAAGGAGAACTACAACATATGGAGGAAGGGGAAAATGTTGGAGATGGCTGCGGTGATGCTGCTGACCATGGCAGGCTTACTCTTTGTCAGTGTCAACAAGTCCTGAAATAGAAGCAGCGACCTGGCAAGCCCCCATGGGGTTACATGTCATGACTCTCAGGGGGGTGGAAGGGGACGGGGGTGCTACCTCAGACTGTTTTGCAAGTGTTGCACAATTTCAGATAGTTGAAGATGATTGTTTTTAGTGTGTTGCAGAAGTAAACAAAGCCTGTCTCATTTGTTAGAAGCATTAGATAGGCTTGTTATTCATGTACTGTGTCCCTTTAGAATCCGACTGTATCAGAGAGGAACTTGAACATATTAATTTTCTTTATTTATTCATGTCTGGGATCTAAAATGCATAAGCAAACATTACACACATTCGGGCTGGGTATTGGTACTCAGTACCTTTAAGGTAGGAATGCTCAGTTTGGTTTGTCCAGGGGCCACTTTTGACACAGCAGCCCCATGAGTCAGGTGTATACGGCGTTTCTAGGAACTGAACATATTCAGGGCTTAGACCGCACCTCTGTAGGGGGTTCCAGGGATCCTCTCCTGACACATTTTTTGATAAACAAGCTCTATTTTGATCTGATCTGATCTGATCTAATCTGGCACCGTATTTATATTAAAAAAAGAAAATGTATTTTCATTGTGAATTAGAAATTGATCGGAGGGCCACCTGGACCTTATCGAAGGCCAGATTTGACCCCCGGGCTGTAAGTTGAGTGTCACTTCTTTAAGGTATCGACTGAAATAGCCCAGTACCACGTGATATGGAAACTTCTCTGGTCAAGCAATACCTGCATCGATCCTTTCTGTATCCAGATCTAGAAAAAAAAATGTGTATGGTTTTCCTCACAGCCAACTACCACCAAGTGTTTTTCAACTTGATTCAATGTGTGATTGGCTCACTACCACAGCAGCTACAACCCATACAGTCTGCAGTGAAGTCGGGCACAGTGTATTTGATGGAGTTGGCAGTTTAGCGTGCCGAGATGCCACCAAATGAGTGGTGGTAGCATTTTACGCAATCGAATGCCTTGATTCACGTATTGTATGTGGAATAAAGCAGGTAAAAAAAGAATCAAATGAAGACTATTGGTATCTTCATCACTGGGGACTTGTACTGGTATTGTTTTTTAAACAATACCCAGCCCTAACACACACACTTGGCTAGAGAGGGATGCTGGATGATGAGAACACCGTAACGTTAAGTAGAAACCGGAAATATTCAAACCACACAGCAGGATGTGGGATTATTTATTCCTGCAACAATTCAAGCATGAAGCTCTGTAAAGCACCCAGTGTAGGGGTAATATATTTCATGTTTAATTGCTGTCTAATGTTTAATTTATGGGTGGCACGGTGGTTTGGTGGTTAGCGTTGTCGCCTCACAGCAAGAGGGTTCCTGGTTCGATCCCAGGTGTGGGAGCCCTTCTGTGCGGAGTTTGCATGTTCTTGTGTCAGTGTGGGTTTTCTCCGGGTACTCCGGCTTCCTCCCACAGTCCAAAGACATGCAGGTTAATTGGTGACTCTAAATTGTCTGCAGGTGTGAATGGTTGTCTGTCTCTATGTGTCAGCCCTGCGATAGTCTGGTGACCTGTCCAGGGTGTACCCTGCCTCTCGCCCAGTGTCAGCTGGGATAGGCTGTCGTTGTTGTATAGCATGTCTCAGGTTAAACCCTTTGTAAAACTGGAAATATTTGTTCATAAATACATACAGAGAATGAATGCGTTAGAACTTTTTTTAATTATCTAGTTTGACATCTTAATGCTAATTGCTAATGTGACACTTTTTACCAGAAATCAATTCTCTCTCTAAAACAGTAGTTTTAGCACAGCGCAACTTTCCCTGGAAACTGACATTTTATTTGCGTGTGAAACTACTTCAGTATGTATTGATAAGTAACATGGTATCAGATCAGTGCATAGACTTATGATCGATACCTGATCCATCACTGTAGGCAGTATCGGAGGCATTCCAGATACTGGTGTCGATATCAGAACAACTCTACCATCAACAAGTGTTCAAGTAGTTGTGGTGTTTTCTGTGTGAACAAAGTTTATTCACTCTCTGTTAGTAGTGACAAGTCTAAAGCCAAACAACCTTTTTTGGCAGCTCTAATTCAATTCTGTTCATCCAAATTTTGCACAAGGATGGAAAAATCATATGCTCACATCATGCTGAACAACGCACAATTCCCTTGCCTTTCCCTAAACACTGCATCTGTAATGTAGAAAATGACTTTTAAGTGTGTAATTGTTAAGATTAAAAGGAAATCATTACACTGTTATGCCCCTTTCTGGGGGGGCGTATGTACTGTACATACAAGATGCCACATGTTAAATTATTTCGTGTAAGAAAAACTGTATTAAGCAGCTGTAATAAAATAGTTTGATTAATGTTCCTGTGTCTTATTATAGTAAATACATTATTGCAAGTACACAACATTTCTTTTGCTTTTTTTCTGCAGTGTTATCAGCTCTGACCTCTAGAGGGCATCTGAGCACATCGAAAATGATCTCTGAGTTACGGCCGGAGGCCTGAGGGGCTCAGCGAGTTTAAACTCTGTGTGGGATGATATTAATGCATGTTATGGAGGTCTCAGCCTGCTGAGAGCTGCTGCTGCTGACAGACTGTCTGTTTATTTCCCTGAAGATGCTACATATTAAAAACATAAAGCCTGGTAAATGTCTGGGATACAATTATCAGTCTAGCTGAAGTGATGAAAACATGTCAAACACTTTGCACTATGATCTCTGAAACTAGTTCATAACCTGTTATATAGATGTATGAACTGAAAGTGAACGTTACTCAAAGCGTGTTTGCATCGGGACCTAATTATGGCTCACCCTCTTTTAGTTTAATATAAACTGAAACAAGAGAAAACCACACTTTCTTATTTACTACACATGAATAAATAGAAGTGAGACAAATTATCTGCTCCATCACTTTAAATAGCATACGTCATCAGATTATTTTTGTAACACGTAAACTCTTGACTTCTCTGAGCCTTTGATCTCAAACATTTCGGGCCGCACTCCCAGATTGTGACATTAACGAGAATAACTGCAGCAGATGTGCAATTGTTTGTTCACATTTTATTCACAGAAATATAAAGTAGTATGTCAAGTACATCACTTTGTACAAAATTGCACAGACTCTTCAAAACTCAGTCAGACAACAGAAAAATGTAGCTTTTAAGAAGTGTTAAGAAAATAAAAGGGAGGCATGAGCAATCTGTGATATGTGAGATGGGCTCTTGCAACAGACGGGGTCCACTGAGGATGTTTCATCAAGAAGAATCAATCAACTGTACATAAATAAGACTCGATAGGAAAAATGTAATTTACAATGGCTGAGGAATAAATATGTTTCAAAAATAGGATTCAGATTGGCACATGAACTGCTCCGTCCGCTCCTCGACTGAAACTGAAATTTCACCTTCAAAGTTAAATGGCCGTGCTTGGAAAGACAGACGGTGATGCTTGATACGTTTTTTCAAACTGAACAAAAGTTTTGCATATGTTTGAAATACAGTAGCTGAAAGGTGCCCGCTTTTCACTGTGCCTTAAATGCTTCAAAACAAGTGTGACATTTTGGTAAGTATGCTTTTGAGAAGGACGCGCAGATTAAAAGCACTCTGATACCTGTACAGTAAGCACATTTCCTAGTATAGCAAATGCTGGACCCGCCCTACTTCCCTGGTACTGGTTGGCTAGTACTAGCCACTACTCGATTAGGTTTAGGTAAGAGGAGTGGGACTGGTAAGGGTTAGGATAAGAATGCAATGATAAGCCAATGAGAGGCAGAATAAGGCAGGTCATGCCTTTGATATCCTCGGAAATGCAAATTTTCATACAGTAGATGTGAAACTACAGCTAGCGTTCGGCTAATTTAGCTTAGCACAAAGACAAGAAACAGCTAGCCTCAGCTAGTCTGTCCAAAAGTAACAAAATCTACCTACCAGCACCCCTAAAGCTCACTGATGAGCATGTTGTCTGATTTGTTTAATCCGTACAACATTTGGACTAAGAAATTTAATATTGATTTCTCATTTCTCATTCCAAAATGTCAAACTTTTCCTTTAAAGGAATACTTTACCCAGAAAATGATCATTTGTATGTCAGTTACTCACCCTTTGTTACGCTGAATTCATAATGAAAACTGCTTTTCTTGTTTTCCTCCATGATGAACAAAGAATCCAAAAAAAGGCGAAGATTTTTTGGTGAATTTAAGTAAAAGGAGGGCGTGTTTAACGACAGCAAAACTGTATCAAAACATCTGTCTACAAACTCTCACACAACTTGTGCAGTATAATCCAAGTCATTTATTTTATCAGTTGGAATTTTGCTAAAACCATAATATTTAAAACACATTTGCATAAACAGTCTCACGCATGAACAAGCAGCTATTCATGCCACAGCCATTGATGTATAAAGAGAATTGGATACAGTGCTGAAGGTGGGGCCTTGTTCATTCCTATCAAAGCAGCTCAGTGGCGCATGAAGCCAAAAAAAACTTTGCCCTTCCAGGTGCAAAATTACCCAGGTCTACGGCATCTAATGGAGCAATTGCACTACAGGTTTTCCTGAGCTAAGCAATCAACTTCTCCTGGTCGAGCGGCTCACCTCTGGTTAAGCTTCTGCTAACTTGAATGAAGATTAAATAATTTAATCATTGGGCTCTTTTAGACTTTTGAAATGTTATCAGCCAAAATGGATCAAATCCAAAGAGTGAAACGAGTCATTTTGTGACGAAGTTATGACGCTCAGATTATGTATCACTGATTTACAGACATCTCTTTCCCACTGTAAGTCTATGGGGAAAGGTCTTGTTGGGCCCCGGAGCATTACATGACCGACCCGGTGTAATTCCACTCTTTGGCCACTATGTAAAATTGACTTCAAAGCCTGGTGCACTTCCTGGGAGCTTGGGGTAAGCACATGCGTTTGAACTCTGCACAGTGGAATGCACAAGTCGAGTTCAATCGACATGCTTGCCCAGAAACGATACTAGTATGTAGACCTTTTTTAAATAGTAATGTCGTAAATCCATGCGTTTGGAGAGTACTGAGCATACAACAGGACAAATGAGACTTGGATTACACTGCACAAGTTGTGTGAGAGTTTGTAAATGAATGCTGTGATATAGTTCAGCTGTTGTTAAACACTTCCAATTTACTTCAATTCATCTGTAATTTATGCATTTTTGGATTCTTCATTCACCATAGAGGCAGGAAAACTGTTTTCTTCACAAATTCAACATAACACTGGGTGGGTAATTGATATACAAATGTTTATGGGGTTTTTTTGTGAGTTAAGTATTTCTTTTTAACTGATATTTTGTGTTATAAAGAATGTCTCGGATCATGAAGTTATTTCTTACAGTAACAGGAGTGTTTTGTTGTGTGAGCTGTATTTTTCTTTTGGATCATTAACTTAAAAAGCTCATTACTTTGTCAGCATAAAGCAAAGCAGCAATGTCACATCTTCCCATCCAAGCATGGCCATCTAGTGCCCTTTACCACACTGTCTGTATCGTTCCAGTCCACACCAGGCCGCACAAACAGTACACAATACCGCCACCTTTCTAAAAAACAAGTCCCCAGTCCCTCCAATAGCCTAAATGCTGGATTTGGTATAATTATATCTTCAAGGCATTACTTCAAAGTGAACTCCTATATTAACAGCATATCTAATCTACAGGTTATTGATATGATAAGCTCGGATACAGAACCAGCACCAGACGGAGGGACCTCGAAAACCATGTTTTAGAAACACTACTGTAGCACACCGATCATTGAAAAATATTTGGACTCTAATACACCACCACACACTCATAGAAATAACCTGGTATGACAGCAAAATGGGAGCCGCCCTGCCATATTCACTTAGTTTCAGCAATTTTAAACTGACTTTTAACACAACGTATGACCACCAGTGTGTGTGTGTGTGTGTGTGTGTGTGTGTGTGTGTGTGTGTGTGTGTGTGTGTCGATAACACTGTGAGAACAAAACAGTTTGCAGAGATATGCATGTTCAGTGTGTTTTAAGCAGAAACTGACAGTAAAGGAATCCCCTGCAATAGATTTTCGGGCTTCTGTGATTATGCAAGATGTCAACACCATCCTCCGTGTCGCTATGAGCAACAGTCCGTTCAAGTCCAAGGTAATTGTCAGGCACTAAGACCCTTTAGGCTGTACACGTTTAACAAAAATCTTTTCTGAGCTAACACTAACACACCCATGATTGCTGTACTGATGTTAGCAGAGACCCAGGGCAGGACTTTGTAGGGAAACCCTGCAGGGACAGTGAGGATATCCGGGACAGACTCAAAGCAGCTTTACAAACATTAATGGGATGCTCCCGGGAGCTCAGAGGAGCTCTGAGGAGCTCTGAGGGGAGGGACTGTTTCTTCAGGGTCATTTCAAACTCTCAATCTTTCAGCGGGGTGGTGACACAGGCTCTGCTTCCAGGGATATGTGGGTATGGGCGAACAGGAAGTGGTCAGAAGTGATGAATCAAAGCCATATGACTCCGCTGGATGACTTCCTCTTGCTTTCTCCACCTACACTCATATCACCATGTTGTGTTTCTACATCTATGTTTCATCTTCCGCTCCATCTTGACAATCTCCGTTTCCTCATGTGGCCTTTTGGTTTCTTTATTCACTGACATTCTTGACAGCTGAGTTTGAAGCGAGGACGCAGAGCCTGAAGGATTTATCAGCGAGGACACACTGCTCACCACCTCCCTTCTCAAATCAGAGAAACAGGAAATTGCCTTGAAATAAAAACAAACAAACAAAACAGTGGGTGATCCAGTGATTTGGACAGTTCTCATCACCAGAACAGTGTCCCATGTCACCTCCGATACATGACTGAACCCTGCCCTGTGGTGTTTAGTAGAAAGAGTACTGGTTCTCCACTGCCCGGGCCCTGCGAGTCCCATCAGCATCGTGGTAGTCCTCAGATCCACCACTAGAGGCCTCCAGCAGGCGCTCAGAGCTGTTGCTCCGGCTCTGTAACCCTCCACCCACTCCTCCTCCAGTACCTGGGTCACTGCGGGAGAGGGAGGGAAGGGCAGTGGGTGACGAGGAGGTGCTCGAGGAGAGCGGGGCATCAGGAGGAGGCCCTGCAGGCGCTGGGATTCCAGGAGGGTGGAGAGCTGGCTGGGCTGAGTCTGTCCTGCAACCTGCATCCCTGGGTGGGGTGAGGACCGGAGGCACAGTCACATCTGCAGCAGATTGTGCGAAGAAGAAAGAAATCGTTTTAATGGAAGACATATTAATAATACAGATTAATCTGCGCTGCTGATAATTGTTGGTTACACTAAAGAGCTGCTGGCAGCAGGCTCCTTCACAGAGCAGCATGTAACCACAGGCAGTGCGGGCCTCCTTTATTATGCTTTCTCTTGCAATAACACCGACAACAGTGGTGCCAAAGACACGCCTGACCAGTGTATCAGTGAAGCCTTTTACACCCTGAATCAAACCCTCACTCTATGTAAGTGTGTATGGGAGTGAGTGCATGAGTGTGTGTAGGTCCAGCGTTGGGGTGAAACAGAGGGCCTCTTTGTGGCCACCAGGGTGGGTTGGGGCCGGAGTCTCGGGCTGCATGCAAAACTCCTGCGGTATAATCGCCCCCTCACTCTCCTGTACAGGAGGGCATTCATCCCATGCCAGGAGAGCAGAGGGCAGGAGCAGTGTTAGGATGGAGGAGGGGGGCAGGTTCACTGAGTTTTAGCTCTGCTTCCTCCGTCTATGAGGACAAACTCTGCTGTCCATCAACACATCGAACTTTCTGGAAGTTTCTAACCACCCTCCATTTTCCTTTGGTGACCTGAGGAGTGATCGTCAACTGAGACACCTGTTTCTTTGAAACCACTGACAAATTACCTCCAAGCTCTGGAAGTCTTGAACTCACTAAATTTTAGCTTGTCTTTGTTTAAGCGACTGAGTATGCATAACTAAGGCAGCAGTAGTGGAGCCATAACGTCAGTGAACTGACTCAGTAATGTGAGTTACAAAGCAATATCTAAGTTTGCAAATATTAGCCACCACAAACTACTGATAATCACATACCAACATGCTATTTATACTAAGTACGATGTAAAATTGAGTATGTCATGCATTCACATTGTATAGCACGTGGATTTTGCTTACGTGAGGAATACCCAGATGTATGCTACATTAGCAATAATTTCTGAGAAGGAGACGTGAGCTTACTGGACATACTCTTTTTACACTGTGTCTCTTCAGCCAGGCTCAAAGCTGTTAGTATGTCATTTTATTAAGTTTGTATATATTTTAAGGTGAGAAAGGAACTATTTTGCTTTCAAATATGTGCTCAGTTTATCGAAATAATGCTTGCAAATTTGCTGCAACATTTTCAGAGATGTGAAAGCTGCTGGGCGGGTCATGCTAGCTGTCAGTCAGGTTATACAGTCATGACATGAGTGTCTTGCCTGGGTATACTTCAATATGACAAATCTGTTGGTAATGGCAAACTTAATCCTTCATTAAGTCGGCAATATGCATTACATGAGTATGTTGTAGTAGGTAGTACGTTATATATGTTTCCAAAAATAGCCAATGCCAACCAAAACCTATGAATGTATGAGTGTACTAAAATGAGTAAAAGTATTTTTTATTCTCATTAATTAAACTTTTCATTTGTAACAAAAAGGATGCGTTAATTCTTCTAAATGTTACAAAGTCTAACTCAAAACTCAAACAATGTTATGAGTAGCGGTCGACCGACATATTGGCTGATATTATTGCAGACATATTGTGTCAGTGTTAATGTCAGCCGTTAAGTTACAGAAATGTCCCACTCAGTATATATCACAGTCACTATCCTTTTAAAAATATTTGACTGTGAAAAATATGACTTTAAAACATATTTACTTTTTTTAAAATTCTAATTTAATATTGATCTCAAAGATCCAGTGTTGGGTGGGGTTAAAGTAATCAGAAACTCTTACAAAATATAAATAAGTAATACATAAAAGCAAACTGGCAAATACTGTGTGAACATTTCTAGGAACGTTTTATGAGAAATGATTGAATGGCATAACGGGACTTTTTCACAGCAGACATTCTGAGCAGAGGTCACATCAGCCAGAATATTTGAAAACATCTGTATTGTGTGTGCAGAACCCTTAACTTAAGTCTGAATGCTTTGACCTTTCCAGCATTCCTGCTATTAATAATACCCTAATTAAGCATCTCATCAGGGTATAACAAACCGTAGAGTATTAGGCCTTAAGGAAAAATATCAGGCCTCTGCATGTTATGTGCCTTTACAGTGTCTTGACTGTTAAATTAAAAGAGTGTATGACCTCCTCAGTTAAAACTATTGTGACTGTGTGGTTGTGGCGTCTGTAACGTGGTATGTGAGCAGTTTTCATTCATGTGCTGCGTACCTGTAGTAGAGCTTCGCTGCACTTGTACATAGGAGCGTAATGTGATGTCTGCAGAGCCTCCAGATTCGAGGGGGATTGGGTGGGCGTGGAAGTGTCTCAACATGTCCGACACGGTGTGGAACCACAAGTGGTGGACGTGGCACTGCCCATTCTCATTCACCGACAGACGCAAGTGCTGGGAAGGGGAAGGAAGGGGAGGAGAGGTAGACCGGACATTAACAAGGAAGAGAAGAGGTTGAGATTCAAAGGAAAAGGGTGAGATTGATGGTAGAGGGGAGGGTTAGGAAAGAAAAGGACACAGAGAGACAGAGAAGTGCAGTGTGAGAAACAGTGAAGGCCTAAAACAGACAAACCAAGACAGAAGTCAGGACATTATCTGAGAGGCGTCTCGCTGGGGGAGCAGAGCGACAGAGTGCCAAGACTGACACCAGAGGAAGAGGCTGCAGCTGACACTTCCTCAACACTGCCGGCTGGCAGGATGTAATGTGGATAGATCGTATTACATAAAAGGACACAAAACATTGACATTACTGCATCTTTTCCAGGGCCTGAACAATGCGGTCTGCTGTGAGCTGAAACCCAAAATGTCACGAGAACAGGCGTGAGTGAATATAACTGCAGCGGGGAGGAGAGATTCTTGTATTTCAGTGTAGAAACAACAAGTTAATTCGTGATTTAATGGTCCAGTGTGTAGGACATAGGGGGACAAATTGGCAAAATATAACTACAGCGTGAAACTGCTTTATTCAGTGGTTTTACCAGTTTTAATCAACTGTCTGAAAAGGGAAGAGTCATCTGCCAATAATCTGTCTCCCAGTGAAAACCTCCTGAAAGTCTGAAACCAGTTGCACAAAACACCTAAGTTTTTCCCCTTAAGTATGACATTTCAGGCTTAATTTCTCCTTAGCTGAGGGACTACACAGAATCCCATGAAAGGTTTCCTTTGTTATGGTAAAACATTAACTCATTTGCTGTATTGAAAGAGATTTTACAGATGTTTCCATGGAGATTGTTTGTTTGCTTAGACTCAAGCTTGTGGTGCCCGTTATCGACTCACAAAGTTGTCCTACAGTTAGATAGTGAGAAAACTGCAGAAGAAAAGAAGACAAGGAATCATATTGGTCAGAGGAGGAAAAGATTATACTTCTGGAGGAATACAATCATATAAAGCACAAACTGCAAAGTAAATTTGATCCCCAAATACCAGTAAATAGAAAATGATAGTAGGAAGAACTTGCAACAAAAAATTAATTCAGTCAAATCTTAAGTGGAAAATCAAAAGTGTATCCACTGGCTTCTCTTGGACGCAGAACACTCTTCTCAGGGTGTGTTAGTTCAGTCAGGAACACGTAAGTTAAAAAAAAAAAAAAAAAAAAAAAACTTATTTCCATTTGCAGTATTATATTTGGCGGTATGGCTCTGTTCTGGGGCCTCTCTGCCTTTCCTCACGCCTACGCAGAAAGCCTGAGGCAGAGCGAGCAAACCTCCCTGCCCTTCCATGTGCCGACATGGAAAGCCAAAGGCAGGGAGAACACCAGCAAAGACCCCCCAGGAACAGAACAGAGCAGCATCAATGACAAACAGAAATGGCACTGATAAGTCAGACACAACATGAAAAGGATTTTTTATGAGGAAACCTTAACAAGGACTTCAAAGAAAATCTTAACTTAAGGTATAATGTGCAACCGGCTCCTGGATCTTAAGTTAAGCCAGAGTAAAACAGTGAGCATACACTAGCAGGTTCATTTCCAAAAATGAAAATTCAGCCATTATCAACTCACCCATATGCCGATGGAGGCTCAGGTGAAGTTTTAGAGTCCTCACAACACACATGAACGCAGTGCCCATGTCTCACAGTCTCCTGCAAGCGCGAACACGTGAGCACGGTGCACAGAGAAGCAGTTAGAGCTACAGGCTACAATGAGGCTAAAACAACTTTTTATGTCGGGGCATCAGGACACTTGGATCACTACGGATGAGCAGTATGGAGATATTTTGTGGTTTCAATTATGTGTTTTTGGACGTTTGAATCTGGGGCGCCGTAAGCCTCCATTAGGTGGAGTTGTGTTGCTACCCCCTCTCCCCTGGGATCTCCACAAGTGTTGTGAGGACTCTAAAACTTCACCAGGGCCTCCCTCGGCATATGGGTGAGTAGATAATGGCTGAATTTTCATTTTTGGGTGCACTATCCCTTTAAGGCTTTTTTCAGGTAAAACTAAAAAAAAAACATTTTTTGGTTCCAGCTTCTCTTTTTTTTTCCTTTAATATATTTGTTTTTTTAAATTGTTGGTTCAACAAAATAAGCAAATGAAGACAAGTTCTGACTCTGGAAACTAGTGATGGGCATTTTGTTCTTTTTTTTTTACATTTTATAAACATAATTGAAACTAAATGATCAGTGCATTAACAAATAGTCTCATCATCTACATGTTTACAACACATAACTATCCACCAACTGTTTCAGTGAATTTGACTCCGTCATATAACATAATGCTACTTCTCCTCTCTCATCGTCTTACCTTGGCTTTGCCCTGAAAGTTGAAGGTGAGGACGTACTCTCCCGGTCGCGTCTCACTCTGACGAATCACAAAGAGCCCATGGCTTCTGGCCCCACCTGCAAGCACCAACTGAGCCGCCCGCACACGGGACAGTGTACCATGGAACCATGGGTAACCCGCCAGGCTGGCATCCCCATCTGACTCTTTTGCTCCATCAATGCCACCTAAAAAAAACAGGGGTCTGTTTTCTCTATTTGTAATATTTTTTCTGTGTTTTTGAGTGTTCATACTGAGTGTATGTGTTATTACCTGCAGAGGAGTTGGAGCCCTGGGCCTCAGGGGACTGGAGAAAGCGCTCTAAAGGCATATGGGATGGGTGCTGGGTGAAGGGGGGTTCCCTGCAACGGACTGAGGGGGCACTGTAATGCTCTGCGGCTGTAGGACACGACCTTTCAGGAGCACGATACACACCTAAACACATTTTTTATAATTTAATACATTAATGTGGATGAAAAGATTTTAATGTTGTGTAACAGGTGCTGGAAAAAATGGAGAGGAGTCTTTGCTTACCCTCAGACAGCAGCTCACAGCTGCAAGAGGCCACCATGGAGCAGTCTTTAGAGGCCTGACCGTGAGGACATGACGCCAGCTCGATGTCATCGCCGCTGTCACTGTACACAAGCAGGCGGGTCAGGAGAACCGCAAGAACATATACACATACACACACGTGTGCAAACATCACAGAGGCCTAACACACGACTCTAACACACATCCAGATCCTACAAACAGGGACACAAATAATCTTTCTGTTTACGTCCTGAGCTGCACCGACAAACGTCCACTAACCAGCAAACTGAGGAGGAATGTCCGTGGTGCGAGCTCGCCCATGTTTGTGCTAAAGCAACCTGTCAAAAACTCCACTAATTTGATGATTAATGACTGTGTGTGTTTCCCCTCCTTTCCCCTTCCCAACCCCCTTCCCAACTCTCTCCATCCCTCCATTCCTCTCTTCTCCCCATCAACAGCCAACAGCAAATATTTATCTGGTGGTTTACCCCGGGTCTATGCAGTCCTGGATGTCAGCAACCCAAGAGTTTTTCTGCAGCGAGTCGATGGTTTCCAGGATGTACTCTCCCCCGTTTTCCACCTGTGGAAGCAGCCAAACACTGCAATCACACACTGAGCTCTGTTCAAAGGACCACGTCAGGGCACAGAACAGGACAGATCCAGTCTTAACTCAACAAGGGCACGGGCTAGCTCATTTTCCAACAACCTGTTTTTGTACAGCAGTCGTATCTGAGTCTGCGGCAGGTGCACTTGTGTTAATGTGGTTGTAAAATGGTTGCAGTTCCTACCTTAAGAACAAAAGTGTTGTCCTTGTCAGGCATTTCCAGCGGCATGGTGGTCCTCACCTCCACGATGGCTGACAAAGGGATGCTCACTTTGGGCTTTGAGGACTGAAGTGAAACAGAATAAAATGTCACATTTAACTAAACTGCAGGGCTGTCCTGATTACCAGTTTTAGGGCATCAAAGCCTCGTTGGGAAATATTTGCAATTAATGAAAGCTTCGAGGAGGTGATGAGAAACGAGAGGGCATTTTTTGACACATCAGTTTTCAGTCGTGGCATCTAACATACCTTGACAACACTTACATCCTCTGGAACAGATGACCTATTCCATATAACTTCAAAAAGCATTGGAAGAAAAACAATGGAGAAAATGGTGTGTTTATTTAGCCAATGAGACAGACTCCATATGGTTATTGTATGTACCATATATGACACCCTACTTTAATTTAAGAAAGCTTGTCATGGCTTTGTAAACATCCCATGACCTCATGTTTTTTTTCCATGTAGTACTTTTCTTTTGTTCCTTTAGTTACTGAATGTAATAAATGTTCATGAATAAACTGTATTTAAAAAAATTAATAATGACTGCTTTTCTTTTTTTTTGTCTTTAATCCCTCCTCAAGTCTCCCCAACATATGGCGCTTATATGTACACTTAATCTCTCCCAAAATGTTCTACAAGGTTCTTAAATTGTGAAAAAAATTTGGACAGCAGGAGAAATTACTTTGTTTATCAAAATTTATGTTTTGCTTTGTAAACTGCTGCAGAAAAAAAATTTAATGCAAGACCGCGAAGCTGTTGCTCACAGTGTTCATTTGATTTGCAAAGTTGGTTGTAGATTTGTGCTATGCCAGTTTTTGTTGGCATATCTGGCAGTTGACTTTTTGGGTGTCATCTTTGTAAATTTTGAAATTATTCCAGACTTTTTCAACATCTTGCTCGCGTATCTGTAAGCCTGTCACAGGTGGTCAAACTGTCATAGTTAAAACTAGGCCTATGTCCTTTACTGAGAATAACTAATAATTCATGTTGATACACAGTGAATTATGATGATAACTATTTCTTTATTTATGGGCCATTTGGGATTCTTGGGGTAATGGTATAGAAAAACCAAGCAATCGAATTCTAATTTGGACATTGATTACCATGGCAACAATTTAGGCTTTGAAGCATTTGAGTCAGGTCTACCAAACTGTGAAAAACTAATATTTTTCTAGTGGTATGTGGTGTATGACCTCAAGACTGAGACCCTCAAAAAGTCATAAGATCAATGTGTAGGGTTGCCAAAAAAAACCCTAGAGTGTATTTTGTGAGTCTGCATTACAGATCTGATCAGAACACAGTCCTGATGAGGACATAGTAGCTGCATTTCTGAATTACACTATTGATAAATAATAACTACGGTTGTTTTATGCCTAACTGTATTTTCGTTGCTTATTCAATCAAAAAAAAGATTTTATCAGGAAAAACCTAAGATTTAAAAACAAGTTCTTAGGGACTTTGAGAGGTGCTGCTTGTGCTTGCAAATCACAGTGGATTGAGAAACACATGTAATAGGGTACAGGGGGATAGGTTTCATTTCAGCATTGGGTGGGGACACATATGAAAAGAAAAGGGGGTTAGGAGTCCTCTGCCAGAAAATTTTAAGCATCAAACACAGTATTTCTTGCATTCTGGTGAATTTCTATACACTAATTTGAACCTCTCTGCATCTATTTATGGTGTAAATGTCTTTATTTTAGTCAAAACAGCAGTCCTCTGATACTTTTATGTTATTTTGCACATGTGGTTCCCTGATTTTCCACCACTGTTATACCATTAAAATCCAGAATAAGTAATTACAAGTGTCCAAAGTTAAATTAAATCCTTCATTACAGCCTGCAGCTCTTGTTAAAGTAGAAATCTCATATTTTAGGATAAAAAAAGCCCTACATAGAGCTTTTAATTACTGGTGCAGGTTTAAATACTAACACTTCTCCATCTGTCTTTAGTGTGAAACACACCCAACGTCTCCTGAGCCTAACATGCTAATTAAGGGGCAACATACAGTCTGAATCATTAACGCAACCTTAGCAGCGATGAACTAACCTCCTGTTTACTACGACTGAATAACTCATAAAATAAAACAAGGCCAACATTATAAGAGAAGGTAAGATTGCACAACCTGCAAAAATGTCTCAGTTTTTATGCAGTCTGTTATTTCTCACAGCGATTATTCCTGCTGACTGACTATAACAAACATAAGAGTTTACAAGAGGGTGAACACAGAAAACATCCTGGCCTCAGTTTGCCCTCTGGATCCAGACGATAATCTTAACAGATCCAATGAGTGTGTTTGAGGCGGTGAGCTGCATGTGTATGTGTGTGTGTGTGTGTGTGTGTGTGTGTGTGTCAGGAGAGGCAGAGTGAGAAGGAGGCTGACTGATGGTCTGGCAGAGGCTTATCAGCTGATCTGTCTGGAGCAACACTGTTCTCATCTTGATCTGCCTGTGCAGCTGGCTGCCATCCACGCCCACAATTCCTTTCTCTGGATCAGATGTCAAAAACCACTTCCTGTATTAAACCATCTGACCATTTCCTGTACCTCTTCACTGCGGAAAACACAGGCCCAATCTTACTGGGAACTACTGTATGTTGAAATGTTTAGTCGGAGCAAACCAGTGTTAACTAGTGCACATGACTGTACATGCTCCACCTCACAGTTCTCACAGTCTTACAGGAAATAGGTGTGAAGTTAGTTAGTGTGGTCAGTCTGTCTTTTCTGTGCCCTGGGTTTTCTGATGTGGTGAATTGGCTCTCAAACAGTTGCCTATTTATACACTAAGCAGACACACAGCAACATTAGAACTCATGTTGAAAGTCCAATAGTCACTTCCTTTTAGCTCTGTTTTGGTCTCCACCAACTCCTGAGGAAAATATCTGTTTCTCAAAGGAGCAGTATACAACATTCAGCGCATATCTATGATTAATGTTGCATTCACATGGAACCAGGGAAACGGTAGCAAAATGGACGTTGTCCATCTGCCCTCTCATGCCTGATTCCATGTGAATGAAGCGTCAGAGTCTAGGCTGGGATTGCTTGCACATGGCTCTCAACATGGAGGTGGCTGAGCCAGCAGCTAGCATCTAACAGTGTTAACAATGGCGGCAGTGCTGACAGAGCTAACGGTGTTAACCTGGGGGGGGACTGAAGGGAGATGCCATCACCGCTAAAACAGCAGTAACTGACCGCAGTGCAGAGTGGCAGCGATTTAGCCAGTAGGAAACACACACAAAGACTCACATGCATGCACAGACACACTGTCTACAACAACAGAGAAGCTCTGATGACAACTCGCACAAAGGGAGTGTGACTTCACTCTCTGCTCAGGATGCCATTACTCCACTAAATCTTTGCATAGCAAATTGTGGTTTGCTGACTGCTCTGAATGTCATGAACAGAACTTTTAAGCTGCTAAATGTTTCACTGTGTTCACCAGCTAGTCGCTAACTGTGTCTGCTGTTTGGTGCTGAGCAGGCAGTGTACAGTTCTATGAGTTTTTTTTGTTTGTTTGTTTGCTGAAAGATAGGCGAGAGTTAACCAAACCTGTAAAGTTAGGGGGCGTAAAACCAAACCAGTCAATATAGTTCAGTGCTGGTGATAATCGTCTGTGAGTTTGTCACTACAAGCGATCCCACATATTATTTGATCTATTGTTAATATAAAAACACTGATTACTGCCGCTTCAACATTAAGTACAGATACAACTTGACCCCTCTGTACAATCTAACATCATTAGTTTACTATTATTGTTTTTTTGTTTGATTTTTTTTTTCAGTTTAAACAAGTAGGAAATCTCAGAGAAGGATATCTTAAAACCTGGATGAATAAAATCAAAACTGCAATGGACAAATACCACTGGAGGTAAGTCACAAAATGACCCTTTAAACAAATAAAGCTAATGACTCTAACCAAATGAGAAACACAGAGGGATTTCGTTCTGAATTGGTGTAACGATGGGACTTCAGACCATCTTTAAAAAATGCCAACAAATGCACAAAATGTGCCAATTGCTCCAGTAAAGTAACCACTGTTTGTGTTTCCTTCTGTAAATACAGGTAACATTTAGAAGTGTCCACAATAATGAGTTTCCATTTCATTTGGGCCCATCATCCATGAAAAATAATTAAATAACAACAGCAAACTGCAAAAATAGTCCCAAAAAAGCAAAATACATCACTAGTACCTTTTAGTATTTTAAAGGTCCACTGTGTCAGATTTAGCGGCATCTAGTGGTGAGGTTGCAGAACTGAAACTTCTCCTGTGTAACAAGCATGTAGGAGAACTAAAGTAGCTGACGCAAATCATGAATGGCCCTATCTAAAGCAGGTGTTTGGTTTGTCCATTCTGAGCTACTGTAGAAACAACATGGCAGACTGCTTGAAAGAGGACCCACTTCACATGTTGATATAACCGGCTCATTCTACGGTAAAGATAACACAACGATTCTTATTTTCAGGTGATTATAAACTAATGAGAACACAGATATCATACACCATATCTGCTTATAGATGCCTCTTAATCCTACACATTGAACCTTTAAGGCAAGTTTGGAGCTGCTTGTTTTTTATTACAAAAACAAGCAGCTCCTGTGATGTCTTACAGCTACTCTTAGTCCTCAGTAATTACATGGTACTTTGGGAGGTGCAAAGCAGAGAGTGGGTCGGCTCTGGGCTTGCTGCTGTGTCATAATGCAGGCAGTTAGCGTGCTGCAGTGTGCTGCCACACCGAGCAGCCGGCAGATTGATGGCCCTGACAGGGACGGAGCCACAGCCAGTCAGCCAGGAGCGGCCAGGAGTAAGATTTTATGAGTCAGTTTATCTTTCTGACACTGTTGACTCTGCACTGTTATGATTTGTAAGACCTGAATAAGACGGCAGTGATAAAACAAGTCAGAGTGTCTGCAGGGCAGGCCTGTCGAGATGTCTGTGTTTAATTAATGTGTCACTTCAGCTGTAACCGCTGCTCTGAAGTTTCCTCTAATTTCAGCTGATAATAATTTTCCCACGTGTGGACGTTAATAGAATGTAACAGATGAAGCTGCTGAAGCACAATTATTAAGTTTCATTTTATACGTTCCCCTTATGGCCCTCTCTCGGAGTTTGGCAGAGTTTTTTGAGTGACTCACAAAAACTATTTCGGTTCCTGTTTTCAGTTTGTCACTGCAGCCAGAGACGAGGAACCAATCAATATTTATTTTTTGCACATGAAAGGGAATCTTTGTGAACCGCTCCCTCTTACAGAAATCAATGTAACAGCTTCCTTTCTCTCTCTCTTTCTCTCTCTTTCTCTCACAGTCTCCGGTTCTCAGCTCCTTCATCCCCCCCTCCCACGCTTACCTCCCACCTGTCCTTACCCCTCTCCCCGCTCTCCACAGGCTTATCCCCACATTCCCACCAGCCATGATCAAAGGACAGTGGCAGATTTACACACACTCAGCTGCACAGCCTCATGGCCTTCTTAAGGTCAGGGGCAATGATCTGGATATCCCATATAGACGATGTGTGCATGCACGCACATGAGAGTGTGTGTGGTTCGATTTCACTCAGGGTCAGAGAGGTTGGATTATCAGGCTGGATTTTTTTATCTTTGATTCATGAAAGACTGCAATAAAAGAAATTCATGAATCATTAATGTGTTGATCATTTTTTCAATCAATCTTTACGTCTAATGTTCAATTAGACTTGTCTCGGCGAGGTGGAAATGCACTTGTCTGCCTGCTTTTAAACACTGGCTAGACATAATGACTTCCTCGCTGCACCTGGAAAAAAACTTTGCTGTGATAGAAGTGGCTCTGGTGAAAAGTTTAACAAGATTTGTGGATTGTTTTCAAGTGGTCTGGGCAAAGAATGGACTCTACTGTGAATGTTTTTGGTCTGCATCTTATCTAGTTCTCTGTAAAGATTTGATTGTTTATCTGTTTATCTGTTTGTGTTGTTCACAGGCAGAACTCGTTAGTTAAACAGCTAATAATTTCAGCATGACATCCATGTTTTCTGCCTAATTCTACTCCATGTCTGTGTGTGTTTCTGTACCTTGGGTGGTACGTAGAACTCCAGCAGGAACCTCTCGCCTCCTTCGTCCCTCTTTGTCTTCCTCAGCAGCAGGCGGCACTTCTGCCACTGTGCAGCGCCCATACAGTTTGTGTCATCAGCCACCATGTATCTCAGTGCTCCCTCCCTCTGGATCTCCAGCATCTCAGCCTTGTGGCCCTGGGAGCCCCTGGGAAGCCGCAGCTTTTGGGACCACTTCTCTCCCCCTGCAGCCTCCCCTCCTCCTCCACCTCCCCCTCCTCCCCCGTTAGGCCTTCTGGCTCCAGAGGGACCGTCGGGTTCAGGGGAGGCCCGTCTGTGCCACATCTCCTTCACCCCATCCACCACACACAGGCTCATGTTTCTCAGGGAGAAGCCCTTCTTGAAGCGAGCCTTTGGGTGACTGACTGAAACGTCCTCAGAGCTGCGGGACTGCCCCAGAGCGGACACCTTGTGAGTCTGCTGGGGGCCTCGGGAGGCGGTGGTGCCACTGCCTCCCCCATCTATCCCTCCCCCTCCACTGTCCATGCTGTCCAGGGATTCACTTGAAGCCCCGGCGTCCTTGCGTCTCTGGTAAAGGTCGTGACCGTAGGACAGCGGGCAGCCCTGGATTCCCAGGAAAGGAACAATGCTGTACTTGGGTGCTGCGTTGGAGCCGTCCTCCCCTGGAGAGGACGCCTGGTTCTCCCTGGCCTGGGTCAGTGCTGCAGAGAAGCACTCCAAGAAGTGGTGGGCAAAGTGCTGTGAGAAGCTGGCATCAGCGCCGGGCGAGTCGTAGCACGGGTTCTCCGACAGGAAGCGCTGGAACTTGTCAGCGAAGTCTGCAGCAGAGGCTCGAGCATGGAGCTCACAGAACTCTCGCCAGTCTGGCAGTGGGCACGAGGAGGAGAGCTCCGGGCTACCAGGCACCACCGCTCCGTTCATCACTGGGCCATGCCAACCCACCGAGGAGAGGCTGCAGAGGAGGAAGAAGAGCACAGTGTTAAACAATGTTAGCATGGATGCAAGCAGAAGACTGCAGGATGTATTTGTGTAACTCCTGGCTTTGGATCAGACAAACAGCAGGTGTGGAATGGCCTACATGTGTGATGGCGCGGAGAGTAAAAGATGTGTGAATGGAGCAGACTGCTGAACCTGCATTTGTATGTCACTCTAATATCTTAAAATGTTGGTTATATGAAAATGAAGTCCCTAGATGCAGATTTTTTTTGTCATTTCCATCATGTAAAATGTTCAGCTGCACCTCTATCAAAGTGGTAACCAGGATTTTAGAAATACAGAGACCATGAGTCCAAGTCCCCCGACCCCAAGAAAACTGTGACTCCACACCAAAAAAAAATCCTCGTTTTCTCATCAATTTCTTTTTTTTTTTTTCTTTTTTTTTTTACATCTTATTCATTTACTTAAAGGCCCAGTGTGTAAAATGGGTTGAAAACAGTGACATCAGTGGTCAAATTCTAGATTGCAGGGCTCACTCGCTCACCCCTCCCGTCGGGTAAATGACGGCGGCCTCGTAAGGACAAAAAGCCTTGCGCATGAGTTTTTCAGGAGTAGGTCTATCTAGCGACAAGGTGAATATTTATTTAGAAATCTAAGCCATGTTACGATATTGTAATGAATCCCTCATGAGCAGGAGACCAGAGGAGCGTTCGGGAAAAAGGCCCGTTCATTTGAGCACTCCAGAAACTCCGGTAACACTCCAGGGGGTAAAAGACTCTGTCCCAAACTCTGATTCTTCTAGCGGAACACACACACTTCATAACTTTACACACACAGTCGTTTACCACACCGAGTGGGGACCCCTCCCCTCTCTGCTCCACCAATCTCCAGCCCGCACACTGACTGACAGCGTAGCCGGTAAACAGAGCTCAGCTGTTTATTTAACCTAGCAATATCTCCGGACTATAGTAGCTGCAATGGATGACTTTGAACGCAATTTTGAAGAGTTTCTTGTAGCGGACACAGACCCAGAGCCATACCTGTTTGAGCCGGAGCATACAGATGAGGAACTCCATGTGTTTGATGCTGAGCGGGAGAGAAGAGAGGCTGAATGCACAGAATGGGATTCGGTGCTACCATTGTTGGGGAGATATATCATCAGGAGGAAAAGCGCCGCAGAGAGTGCATCACAAGGAGTGAAGTTGCGTCTTCTTTTCCTCGCAGATGACGGTTCGGGTTCATTCTCTCCTGTTGCGTGGTAAGTGTGGTCCATTAGCAAACTTTATAACTAAAAAAACTTTTCACTACTCTCCATCGAAGAACTACTTACACTCTCTGCTGTTTCTTCCTCCTTCTTCCTTCCTTCCGCTGTCTTTGTTGGTTCATTTATACACGTGAAACACATTCTCTGGCTGGCTGGATTGTCCGCTCCGTCTGCCATACATACATGGCGGCACAAGATGGCGACCTCTCTAAAGCAAGGCCCTTGCTATATATATATATATATATATAAAAGCATAATTATAAGGCTACGAAAACCAAACGAATTTTATTTTATAGCGATTATACACTTGTATAAACATATTAATGGGTAGAAGATTCAGATTCACATTCAGATTGACAATAAACCATGCCAAATATTACACACTGGCCCTTTAATTACTAACTACAATTAGTTTTGTCTTTAACCTGAGGAAAGCGAGCTTGTTTTCAGCTTTATGACATTATCAGATAATCCAATACACATTTTGGAGAATTTTCTCAACCAATAAATAAATGTCTTAAAGGGATAGTTCAGATCTTTTTAAGCGGGGTTGTATGAGGTACTTTTACCCTATTCAGTGTATTACGTACAGTAGATGTCAGGTGGTGTGTCCTTAGTTTGGAGAAGCAGGCAAGAGTATCTTCACACAAGCTAAGCAAAGGGGCAGTAACAAGACATATTTTAGCCATCTAAAAAAACATCGGGAAAGTAAAAAAAAATAGTTTATGCATATGCTATTTTTACTGCTTTGCCTCTCCTTAAGACATCCTGTTCCGGCAAGGAGGGCGTTGATGGTTTCAGTTCCCCATCTATGCTCTCCTCAGACCTACCAGACTCCTTTGACAAAAATAGCAATTTGTCTTGCTGAGGATGGGAGCTCCTTCAATCAGTTAATTAGTTTGTGTTATTGTGTGACTTTGTTTAACCCAAACTAACTCAAACACTAAAGTCACACAATGACAAAAAAACTATCCAATCAAGGCAGTGGTAGACCAGCTTTAAGGTAAAGCAATGAAATTATTCTAAATATAGCATACATTTAACCTGACAATGATTCTTTTCAGTGGGTTTTTTTTTAGGTGGCTGAAATATGTTTTGTTTCTGCTCCTGCCACAGCAGTACATTGCTTAGTTTCCATGTCGGACTCTAGCCTGTTTCTCCAAACTAGGGGCATGCTGACTGACATCTGCTGTAAGAAATACATTGACAGAGGATCAGTACTTCATGCAACCCCACTTCACAAATTCTGAGCTATCCTTGTAAGTTTAAGATCACCAAATTTGAAGACACATGGTTTTCAGCTGACTTCAGCTCTGCACAGGAAATAATGAATGTTATATTTATTCACTTGTCTAAAAGTAGTCAAAACTTCATATATTAGAACACTGAAATCAGCCGATAAAGATGAGAAGCTCCCTCCTGGTCTCCAAAAACCCCAAATTCCCAAACTTCTGACTCCACGACCTCATTGTCCCCAGTGGTATCCACAGCCCCGGTGACAACAAGCACAAACAACATCCAGAGTCCAGAATCTGTGACAGCTGAAGATTACGCGCAGGGTTGGCGTGTCACTGAAGGTTTGAAAACAGCTTGTAAACAGATTTAATGTGACAATGGATCGAAGAAAAATCATCCACAAAGCTCCGGTCTCCATCAGTTACCAACTGATGCACTCGGATTATTTGAATTATCTAGAAGTTGTGTCCGAGTAGGTTACAAGCAACTTGGATGCAACTCAGAATGACAGTGGAGCTCCTCTTTATGTCACATCTTTCTCATTCACTGTTGATTTTCTATATAATCAGTGTTTATTAAGCTCTCATCCACTCATCCTTACATTCCTCTGCTCCCCATGTGTGTTCGTATGACTCAGTCCTCAGCGCTGCCTCCAACTCTGGCCCGATCAATGCCAAACCACATCACATCACTGATAAAACTCTTCTCTCTTTGGTCTTACCACCACTGTGTCACTAGCACCATTCACAGCTTTCACTCCCCCTCCTCTCTCTCTCTTTATGTGCCTCAGTACATCAGTGACTTATACAGCATCAGTGAATACCGTCACACCATCAAACACATGTTGGTTTGATTATTGTTGTCTGTAAATCACGCAGATAAAAGGATATCATCTGAGTGGGCAGACTGGGTGACATACGCACAGGGATGGCAAACACTCCCCAAGCTGTGAAAGCTTATTCTCAGAGCTGCTGATGCTTCTCTTGGCAGTTCGCTCACAATATGCGCTCAAATGTTTGCACTCTCAAATGCAATTGCACTCTTAAACTGAATCACACATACATGCATACATTTGCACAGCAGTTTCCTGGAATTTCTCCTGCAAGCAGCTTTATTGTCATTTTCAAAAAGCATCCGTGTGGGTCGTCTTTTCATAAAGGATTAGCACAAAAAAACTCTGCACTGGAATTAAGTCTGACACACACATTCAAACTACAAGCCAGTCTCTCTCTCTCATTCCTTCTTCTTTTCCTCTCCCACAGATCTGAAACAAACAGTATGCCAGATCAGAGAGAGGATAATGATGAGGGGAAGTACACAGGAGTCCCAGCTCTTTGAAAGATCATCTCTGAGCTCATCACATAGAGAGAGAAGCTCTTGGAAGCAGAGACCCGGTGTCAAAATTTCTGAGGAATGCTGTGATGGATAGAGACATTAGAAAGTAAAGGAAAGGGTGGGATTGAAGTAAAATAATGAAAAAGAAACAGCTAAGGAAAAGTCTCCCTTATCTGTGTGGATGTGCAATACTGTGGCCATTTAGCTTCACTTCACTTCACCTAGTGTGCAGACGTGGGTGGTCGGGGGTCTCAAATTAAGCTGTTTTGATTGGACGCACAAGAGCACTGTGTTGCTGTTGTTGTTTTCACTCATATTCTGCCCCCGGAGCTGAAAAATAAAGCCAAGGGGGAAGTGCCAAAAACTGCAGTTCCTCAAATGGCCACTAGAGGCTGGCTCCAAAACAGGAAACAACGCCCATAGACATCCACATTAAAATGCTCGACTTTAAAACAGAAATAAACATGTTTACAGCCTGGTACAAAACCGATTTTGGTCTGTAAAACTAATTTCAACATTCATGACTAATCTTTATATTATTCACTTGTTTACATTTTTAAGACTTAAAGTTATGCATAATTAAGGACATGGCATGTAACCATGGCACAACTGCAGATTCACACTTACTTTTCATACTTAGAGACCCTCTAAGGAGTCAGATGTTCAGTTTTTCCAGTGCGTTTTGTTTTAATGGTTTCAAGCCCAATTTTTGCCAGTTAGCCATAGCTGCAAATGCACTGTACTGCCTAAGCTTACAGCATTAGGGTTATCTCCACCCTTTCATCCAAACATGGTCACTTCTGGCATCAAAAAACCAAGATGGTGACAGTCTCAATGCCAAACCAGGCCCCCAGAAAGTCTGTCGGGCTTTGAAGCCAATTTTCATGGTGGCCAAACAGTGGAATTTAAATCAGTGGATACGTTTTTTCGAGCGTCGCAGCCCATACTATATGACTTGTTTAACAATCAGGATTTAATATATTTGGTCAGTTAAAATTTGTGAAGTCTAGAAGAACCACAAGATTAAATCATTTTATCCCCATTCAAGATAGCGGAGCACTAAAAGGGAAGTAGCTGGCCTGGCTAAAAAGGAATGACCAGGGTCCCGCCTCCAACATTGTATCCCAGGTCTCTTAATACCTTCATGTTCAAAACAAAAGTCCAAAAAACATTGGGTGACA